TGGAATCCACGTCTATTTGCAATCCATTATCGACTGAAATTTAGTTTACTTTTTACTCTGATAATAGAGAGACCGTTGTTGAATAGCATGGGCGTATCAGTACGTAAAGCAAATCTACATCGCATAACAATGGTGTTTTAATTGACTTTTTTTCGTGATTGTGTTGGAAATCGTTTTGCTAAATATGTTCGCTCTATTCTTCTTTTAGAAATGGATGAAGATAACCTTTTTGGTGGAGACTTGAGCGATAGCAGTAGCGATGAGGAAACCGAAACCGAGAATTCAAATGCCGCATCTCAGAATTCTGTTGTCGTGAAGGAAGAGCAAGGCGTCGTCAAGGAGGAGAAGTAAAACAGTTACCTTTTTTCCTTTCTCGAAACATGCGCTGATTGTACTACGGTTCGATTTTCAAAGTTTAGAGGAGCTACATCAAAGCCGAAAGTGACGTTTTCACTAGCAGATGATGAAGAATCAAATGATGGAATGTCAGTCTTAAGTGGTTTAGGGGACTCTGGAGCCCTGAATATGCCCATCAGCAAAGCTAGTAAAAGGAAGGTTCGTCTTATTTTGCATGTTTTACAGAATAGATCGTAGAGAAGGTCTCTGGAGTAATATTTGTCCTTACTTGATCCTATCAAAGCAATTTGCTGTTATTATCTCGCTATTATATGGTGTCCAAGACTCCTCAATTTTAGCCGAGTTTTTAGATTCAAAAAAATCTTTTTTCCAGTTGAACTGTGTATGCTTTCTTTTTTCCTCTTTCCGCCCCCCACCTCAAATACCTCCTTCAAACAGAGTTTTCCAACAGGCATATGGAAATTGTTCTGATTTGTCTACTTGCAAATCTGTCATTTTTTAAAGATGCTTAATAGATCAAACGGCGCTAATAGTGTAAATATATTATTTATCTAGGCCCCGTCACCGTCTCCATCTAATACAGAAGCGAAGCGTGTTAAGTCAGAAGGTCATCTAGCTGAATCCACGTCTACTGCAGACTTTCAAGAGGCGTTGAGCTTGCTGAATGATCCAACAGGAGGTTGAAAACACATATATTTTGTTTTGCGCATATGTTTTGTTCGTAACGTATAACTTGCTTCAGATGCCTTCGCTGCCCCAACGGCTCCAGCTCCTAGAAAAATTATTAAAGATAAAAGCAAAGCGGGACTTGTTAAGGTATAGAGTTCATCCTATTTTGCCGATTATACATTGCATTGGATTGTAACACTATGATCACCCTCCTTTATAATTGTCATCTGGTCGGTATTCAATTTCACCCTGATTGGCAACCCATTTCCAAACTTTTACATTTGTTCGCCACTCAATTCACTAATTTGATCTTCGTTACGCTTTTTGAGTTTCGTTTATTAGAAGGAAAAAGACGTACGATTTGCGCCAGATGTTGCGCAGAATGAGAAACCGTCAACCAGTCAACAAAAGCCACCGGAAAGCTTGACCTCAAAAGCAGATAATGAAGAGGTGCGACCTATTTTTCTATCATGTTATTAGTACGTCTCGTACGAGTCAAAACCAGAAAGAACTTCACAATTTATAGGAAGATTCTCTCCCAATCAAACCACTCAACGAAGAGGATGAGTTACTGCGTCTAAAAATGCAGGTAGCACCTCAGATCAAAACCGCTTGATATGCTTATTTAATCCTGTTCATTTCACAGATTCTCATATCGAACTTCTCACAAGAACAACTTAATAGATATGAGATGTACAGAAGGTTTGCTTGCCACGTTACTACTTTTTTTTCTGTAATTTGTTATATAACCTAAACCCCTAAGGAATTTGAACTTCATTAGTAAGTCGAATGTTTTTATTCTCCTAGCGTTTTTTTT